TTTTGAGATTGAGTCTCACTCTGTCACTCAGGCTGGAGTGCGGTGGTGGGATCTCTTCTCACTGCAACCTCCACTTGCAGGGTTCAAGCCATCCTTCTGCCTCAGCCTCTCAAGTAGCTGGGATTACAGGTGTAGGCCATCATGCCTGGCTAATTGTAACTTCTTAAGAAGCTATTCAAAGACATACTCAAGTCTGAATTTTGGCCCCATTTAGAAACTTCTGTGCTTAGAACATGCTTAAAAACCTTTAAGTACATACATACAAGGGCTGTTGGTACAAAAGCCCAGTATGAGTAACTATTTTTCTTCCTAATTTGACATCAAATTTAATAGATTTTTAAAAAAAAAAAAAAAAAATCAAGTTACAGAAGTTAAAAGAAAAAAAATGACTGAGGTGATAAGCCTCAGGAAAATTACAGAGTAACACTGCTCCAGGAGGGGCACAAACAGGAAAGCAGAATTTCTATTTACAAATGATGACAGTACTGTGAAAACTTTCAGAATTAGCAGTAAGGAGCACAACCCTCCAGGTTCATTATACTCTGGGCACAGTATATGCTTCTTCTTAATTTCAAGGTAATATGACATTTGCGTAATAAATGAAAATTAGTAATATAGAAGATGGAGGTCTGGGCGCAGTTGGTTCACACCTGTAATCCCAGCACTTTGGGAGGCTAAGGCGAGCTGAACACAAGGTCAGGAGATCAAGACCATCCTGGCCAACATAGTGAAACCCCATCTCTACTAAAAATATAAAAATTAGCTGAGTGTGGTCCCAGCTGGCTGTGGTCTCTACTAAAAATACAAAAATTAGCATGCCTGTAGTCCCAGCTACTTGGGAGGCTGAGGCAGAAGAATTGCTTGAACCCAGAGGGTAGATTTGGCAGTGAGCAGAGATTGCACCACTGCACTCCAGCCTGGCAACAGAGCAAGACTGTGTCTCAAAAAAAAAAAAAAAAAAAAAAGAATATGGAGGACCTCAGTAAGTATTTAAATAGTAGAAGACAGGAACAAAGTGGCCATTTGGGAATTAGTCTTTTACCAAAAGTTATCCAGTTGTATTTTTTATGAGAATTACCAGAGTATTATCTTCAAATGAAAATGCTAAGCCTCCAGATCCTCATAACTATCAATGAATTATATTTTCCATTCCTGCCTCAACAATTTCAACTTCTTGTTTTGAGCAAACTAAGCAGCGTAGACGGATTTATCAATATCTTGTTTTAAACCCTTCAAAGAACATTATGAATAAAGGAAATTTAAAATATTTTTCAGCAGAGACATCCTCATTCTCAAATGAGAATATTGGCTTAATTTAGAGTTTCTACATGGCTTAAAAGGAAAAGAAAAAAAAAAAAGATTTAAATACTCGGTACCGAGTTTTCCAGTCACGATAAAGGGCTTTGTGCTAACTTACCTCTTCTTTCTTTGCAGGGCTAACTGCACACACCCAGCAAAATTACTAGCTGGAGTTACTGTGCAATGAGCAAATGTGGAAGAATTTCTTTCTCATGTGATCCCCCCACAGAGGGTGGGATCATGCTTTACTTAACTGAAATAATCAAGCCCCTATTGCTGTCGGGGGAGGTGTAGAGGGTGGGGCCAGAAGGGTTAGGGTTAGGGTTAGGATACCGTGCTATACAGTGAAAATGTAATTTGTTAATATACTATATTTGAGGTTTGAAAATCACGGATCACAGCTACTAAATAACAGTGCACCAAAGTTTTACAATATTTGAACACCTGCGAATGTAAAGCTTTCTGGCATGACCCAAATTTGGATACAAATGGGAAGTTCATTGAGTATTAGGTTTATCAGAAAGCTAGAGGAAACAAATTACATATATTTTTTATAGTTAATAACCTAGGAAAAAAGTGGATATTAGGTAAAAATTAAGTGAAATTATTTAGATACTTTCAGTTTCATCTTTTCCTGGGAAAGCCCCCAAAACAGTCCTCTGGAAAACCAACTTCATGCATGTACAAAATGACATCTGCTCTCATATAGATACAGCTTTCTCTCAATGGTAGATAAGTCACAGATGTATCTCAGATATTCATTTTCATGCATAAGGAAGTTTGAGACATCTACTCCACTGAAATATTGCAAAGGAAGTCTACAAACCACTTCTAGGAAAAAGGCATTTCACTGTGAAAGTTGGATTTAATTACATGAAAGTTGAGAAGACTAGGTTAGACTCAAAATTCTGTATTCATTTTTGTATTTATGAATCTCGAGCAGATGCCAGTTTAGAGAATACAGCCAATAACGTTACAGACAAACCAAACAGCAGTAATAACTATCTTCCTGGCAAAACAGTAATTTATGACATTTCTCCAAAAATTAGCATAGTTCTAAGTTCAATAGTAAAATAAAAAAAAAATCACTGGTAGTTGCCACTTTACAGCTCAAGACACTGTTTTCAGTAGAATTTCATGTTTGCCATTTGGTTCTCTGTTTCAGACATGAACTGCTTTTCAGATGAAAAACCTGGGGTGGCAGAGGTGTGTTTGCGTTGTGGAAGAACCCAGGGCAGAAAAATAGCAGAGAGTAACAAAAGGTGCAGTTCTCTGGTCAGACAGCCAAGCGAGGAGGTAGTTATTCTGAGAACTTATCAAATAGAGAATATCGTACTAAAATACTGAGAGTTGGGGAAGCAACAGAAGCTTCTCTGTGAGACTGAAGATAGCAACAGGAATACTTCTCCTGGGAAGTCAGGATCAGAGCGTCAGTGCAGCTTGAAAGTGGCTCTTTTCTGATAAAACTTTAAAAGTATCTTGTTACATCACCACACATGGCAATCCCATACAACCCTGAGTCCCATCATCAGTGCTGTTGAGGTTTTTCATTTCGTGGTGGTGTATTTCCCTTACCAGTGTGTAAAAAACATCTTCAACACCCTGTCTGGTCTTGGCTGAGGTTTCAATGAATGGAATACTGTAACTTTTGGCCAGTTTGTGGGCTTGTTTTATATCAACTGTACTTGTTGGCAAATCACACTTGCTTCCCACTAGCACCATAGGTACATAATTTCAGTCTTTCACCCACCTAATCTGCTCGCTGTAGAAGTTAATATCCACAAATGACTTGCTGTTATTGTTGGTAAATACACAGAGGAAGTCTTCACCTGTCCTCATGTATTGGTCTCTCACGGCACTGGACTATTCTTGTCTAGCTGTATTGAGAATGCCCAGCAGACAGGTTTCACTGTCTATAACCACCTGTGATGGTTAGAATCCTCTATGGTGGGATCATATTCATCTACAAAAAGTGGTTCTGGATTAGCTGGATTGCCAGTGCGCTTTTCCCAACACCAGTTGCTCCAGGTACCACCAGTTTGTACTCAGTCATTTCACTCCTACAAGAACCTCAAGCTCTGCTGCCTTTGCTTTGGACAGATTTAGGCCAAAATCAAAGCAAGAGCTGGGAAAAATGTTGGAGACCCAGGAACCGCCATGAACAGCCCCCACAAGGGAGCAGCCTAGCCCAAGTTTTTTAAAACCCAAGTTTTTAAAAATCTGGGCCACACTGGCTAGGCATGTCCTGTGTTGCTGTAATACCTTTCTTTGTTGTCTTTTGGGGATGTCATTAGAAAGTGATTCTGTGTTTCTTAGACTCTTACTCCCTTCTCCCATTCGCTAAATGAATCTTCACCCAATTTTTGTAGTACTCGGAGTGTAAAAAATGTATTTTAACTTACGTAGTTTTTAAACATTAAAAATTTTCATTTTTAGATAATTGTAGGTTTGTCTGCAGTTAGATAATACAGAGAGGATCTCTTATTCCCTTTACTTTTTCCATTTTGCAAAATTGTAGTATAATGTCATAATCAGGATAATGACATTGATTGATACTGCAAAATGGAGGTTTCCTTCTCATAAGGACTCCTAACAGTCCTTTTTATAGCTGTACCTAGCACTCCCCACTTCTCTGACCCCTGGTAGCCACTCTTCTGTTCCCCATTTCTATAATTTGGTCATTTTAAGAACGTTATGTAAATTTACTCATATAGTGCATGTCTTTTTGGGATGGGCTGTTCTTGTTCAGCAGAATTCCCTGGGTCTTCATCCAAGCTGTTTCAGTTGTTTCCTTCCTAGCTGAGGAGTACTTCGTGATATGGATGTAGCATGTTTGGTTTACCCATTGACTAGTTGATGGACAGCTTAGTTGTTTCTAGTTTTTGGCTATTAGGAATAAAACTGATGTAAACACTTGTGTACAGATTTCTGAGGGAACATACTTCTTCATTTCTCTGTGATAAATGCCAAGGAGTACACTCGCTGGTTTGTATGGGAATTTGCATGTTTACTTTTATAAGAAACTGGCAAACTGTTTCCCAGAGTGGCTGTACCATTATATGGTTCTACCAGCAATGTATGAATGATCTAGTTTCTCTGAATCCTTGGCAGCATTTGGCATTGTCTGGACTTTTTTTTTTTTTTCCTGAGATTGGGTCTCACTTTATCACCCAAGCTGGAATACAGTGGCATGAACACAGCTCACTGTAGGTTCAACCTCCAAGGCTTAAGTCATCCTCCCACCTCAGCCTCCCACGTAGCTGGGACTACAGGCATGTGGTACCACACCCAGCTAATTTTTATATTTTTTGTAGAAATGGTGTTTCGTCATGTTGCTCAGGCTGCTTTTGAACTCTTGGTTTTAAGCAAGCCTTCTGCCTTGGCCTCCCAAAGTGCTGAGAATTTTTTTTTTTTTTTTTTTTTGGAGAACTAATGGTGAAGGAAAAACAGTGTCCAGAGGGAGCAGGACACCTGATGGCCTCTCGTTACTCACACTTCTGCTGTTGCTTGTTTGTGGGAGAGGACTGTGGCAGTCTGCTCTCTCCAGGATGGTGGTCCCAAAGCGTGTGGAAGGTCATTCCTAGTCTCCACTTTACTTTTTTCTGTTTGATTTGTAATTGGGTTACATCATCTTTGCCAACCCCTTGTTCTTCCACATCCTTCATAAAATGGGTCAGAAGCAGGACTTCCTTTCTTATTAAACCGAGCAGGGAAGGGAAGTGGCATACAAATTGAATCATTCTGTTTTCTTTGCTGTTCTCTTTAAAACGACCCATTTGTTGTCCATTTGTTTTCTTTGAAAAGTTAGTCTGAAATCCACCCCCCCCACACACCTGTTTTTTGAGACAGGGTCCCACTGAGTTGTACAAGTTGGAAGGCAGTGGCACAATCACAGTCACAAGCCTTGCTCAGGTGATCTTCCCAGCTCAGCCTCTTGAGTAGCTGGGACTACAGGCACATGCCACCACGCCTGCCTCATTAATTATTATTTTTTATAGACAGTCTCACTATGTTACCCAGGCTGGTCTTGAACTTCGACTCAAGCAATTCTCTCACCTCGGCCTCCCAAAGTGCTGGGATTATGGGCATGAGCCAACGCATCAGGACTGAAATCCCTTTAATATCTTTTTTTTCTTAGGTATGTCTATGGCTTTTGGACATCTTAATTAGGCTTGATTGGAATAACTATAAGTTAACTTAAAAAAATGTTGAAAGGCATAGGGGTATTATTTTGGGTGACATGTATCCCTAATATTTTGGTGGTAGTGCTGTCTTTCATTAACAAAGTGTAAACTTGTTTTTTAAGAGGACATGAAAAAAGAACTGTCTCTCATACAGAATTTTGGAAGTGTTTGACCTATACTTAATCAGTCACAGATTATCTTTGATCTCAGATATTCTGCAATATGGAAACTGTGATTCTTTTCCAGTAGGCCATGCTCATTTTGCATGGCTAGTGTGTTTAATGTTTTTCTAGTTCCCTAGTCTCTAGGACCTAACTGAATTCAGCAGCATGCCCTGTGCCATAGTCACTTTTCAGACAGTATTCATGCTGGAATTTGTGTTGTGCAGCTTTTTAAAGGGAACATGAGCCTTGGCCAGTGGTTTTCAGACTTAAACATTTGGTAGTGCCTGTTTAAAACAGTTTTTCTTTTTCATGGAACCCGTAATGTCGTGATGTTTTGGGATTGTATTTTGGGAGTTCATTGTTAAACCTATAATAGTGTAAACCTAATCACTGATTTCAGTGAGGCAGTTTTGAGGAACACAAATTAGAAATAGAAGGGAGATTTGATTTTTGTCCTGGTTGCATGGAATGGAGAGACTCCCTATTCACCAGTTAAGCAGAACGAATATCACATTTTAAAATAGCTAGTCTTGCAATCTCAGGATGCTTTCCAAGTAAATAGAGATGGCAGAAGAAGCTTTATTCTGAGATCTGCGCAAAAGTGGGTTATCCTGGCAGCACAGTGTACCTCGTAGCTGTTCTCTGATATGTAAAATTCGGTGTAACACATCTGAGTGTGTGTGTTGGTGTTTTATTATGGCAGTTAAAATAGTCATAAGACAAATGCATATAAAATGTCTGTAGACTGCAATGTCTTCAGAAGAATGCTGTCAGAAAGTCATTATTCTAGGCCCCGGCTTTACATCCCTGGGTGAGAGGCTCTTGTACCAATCGTTGGGTAATTTGAACAGCTCCCTTTGTGGTACCATTAGGAGTCTCAACTTTGAAGGATCACTTACCACTCTGTGCATAGGTGATTTTCGAAGCACCTGGGTGAAGTTACATGGCTCCCGAAAATTGAGCTTTAGAAAACAGCGACAACATTGAAACGATCTTTGGGAATGGTTACCACAGAACATGCATTGTTGCCAAGGATCCCGGCAAAAATTCTGGGAACTGCAAATTAAAAGAAGCCATATTTGAGCACTTCACAATTTACCTGAACTGAAACTGGAGTCAGTTCCTACCTGTTCCCATTCATCTCCGTGTAGGGGCTGGGGGCAGGCTCTGGCCCGGGGCACGCACACATTTTCAGGAGGCACTTCTGGCGGACTTGTGTCTGTTACCTGAGCTGCATTTGCATTCCACTCCCTCCTTATCTGCAAGTGCCCCAGTTTCTTCTGTAGTTAGGATAGGTGAGTCAGATGACCGTGGGCAAGGAAGCTGGTGAGCATATACCAGGCTTGGTGTAACTTTTCGTTGTCCTAAAAAGATACTCTTTTTCCAGTCTTTGGGATTTAGCCACCCTTGGGCCAAGGCAGTTAAGTACACCCTGGGGAGGGGAGGAAGGTAAGGGAGGAGGGAGAGTAGCATGAAAGGGACATTGTGGACAGTAAGGAGCCAGGAAATCTACTCCAAATATGGAATGAATAGGGAGAACTCTTGTTTTTCATAGTTATAAAATAGTTACAGAGAAAATAAAGACCTTAGTAAAAGGTTACTGTAACAACTTTAGGTTTCATTTAATTAGAAACACTGTTAATATCTATTGTTGAAAGAGATTAAAAATGCAGCTAAAATCTAAGCCTAAAAGATTTTTGTTCCCTTTCTTATCCCCTCTGCTTTCTAAAATGCTTTTTTTAAAAAAAATAGAATGTGAGATTTTGGATTGGTATATATGGGGTATATTATTGTCTAGATCTTTACATTACTGTGTTTTATTTATTTTTCTCTCTTAATAGACCACTTTCACTGCTCTTTGAGGAAAGAGGGGCAAAGAGGGGAAAGAAGGATGCTTGGAGTGTGTGTGTGTGTGTGTATGTGTGTGTGTGTGTGTGTGTGTGTGTGTGTGTGTAGCAGTAGCAGTGGGTAAAAGAGTGTTCACTTTCATTCATTGGGTTCTTTTCCTCATCTTGCTTCTTAGGAGGAGGCCTCCCTCCCTCCTTCCCTCTTTCCCTCTTTCCCTTCCTTCCTCCTGTCTATCATCCAAAAGCTGGAGTGCAGTGGTTCAAACACAGCTCAATGCAGCATCGATACTCTGGGCTGAAGAGTTCCTCCTGTGTCAGCCTCTTGGGAGCTGGACTAGGCACACATGCCACCATGCCTAACTGTTTGTTTTTTTGTAGAGATGGATCTTACTTTGTTGCCTAGGCTGGTCTCACTGGGCTCAAGCAGTCCTTCCACCTTAGCCTCCCAGAGTGGGATTACATATGTGAGCTGGTTTTTCTTTTCTTTTCCTTTCCTTTTCTTTTTCCTTTCCTTTCTCCTTCTCCTTCCCCTTCCCCTTCCCCTTCGACAGGGCCTCACTTTGTCACTCAAGCTGGTATGCAGTGACATGATCTCAGCTCATTGCAACCTCTGCCACCCAGGCTCAACTCACTGCAGCCTCCCACCTCAGCCTCCCAAGTAACTAGGACTACAGGCATGGGCTAATTTTTGTATTTTTTTTTTTTTTTTTTTGTAGAGATGGGGTTTCACCATGTTGCTCAGGCGGGTCTTGAGCTCCTGAGCTCAAGTCATCCACCTGCCTTGGCCTCCCAAAGTGCTGCAATTACGGGCGTGAGCCCCTCTGCCCAACCCGAGGTTTTCCTTTTTTTTTGAAAACATTATCACTTGATGAAATTTGGCCAGCAAGTGTCTTGTTTTCTTTAGATATGTGTAGATGTACAGGACATCCTCTTAGAGGTAGGAAGCAGGCAGTTACATATGCCCTGAGCTGTACTTACAGCCTCTCCAGCCTTTGGCAAGGGTTTGAGACAAATGTGCTTAGTTCCTGCTAAAGAGGCAATGTGTCTATTTCTGTTAATCCCTGGGCCCTGGGGTCTCAGGAGACATTTATGGACATTGACTGGGATTAGTAGGTGTATCCATCAGA